CCCCCCCGTGGTGTCCCCCCAGTGCCCCGAGGTGCGCCTCAACATCATCTCCAACCTGGACTGCGTCAACGAGGTGATCGGCATCCGGCAGCTCTCCCAGTCCCTGCTGCCGGCCATCGTGGAGCTGGCCGAGGACGCCAAGTGGCGCGTGCGCCTGGCCATCATCGAGTACATGCCCCTGCTGGCCGGGCAGCTGGTGCGTACTGGGAGCACTGGGAGGCACTGGGAGGGACTGGGAGCACTGGGAGGGCCATCATCGAGTACATGCCCCTGCTGGCCGGGCAGCTGGTGCGTACTGGGAGCACTGGGAGGCACTGGGAGGGACTGGGAGCACTGGGAGGGCCATCATCGAGTACATGCCCCTGCTGGCCGGGCAGCTGGTGCGTACTGGGAGCACTGGGAGGCACTGGGAGGGACTGGGAGCACTGGGAGGGCCATCATCGAGTACATGCCCCTGCTGGCCGGGCAGCTGGTGCGTACTGGGAGCACTGGGAGGCACTGGGAGGGACTGGGAGCACTGGGAGGGCCATCATCGAGTACATGCCCCTGCTGGCCGGGCAGCTGGTGCGTACTGGGAGCACTGGGAGGCACTGGGAGGGACTGGGAGCACTGGGAGGGCCATCATCGAGTACATGCCCCTGCTGGCCGGGCAGCTGGTGCGTACTGGGAGCACTGGGAGGCACTGGGAGGGACTGGGAGCACTGGGAGGGCCATCATCGAGTACATGCCCCTGCTGGCCGGGCAGCTGGTGCGTACTGGGAGCACTGGGAGGCACTGGGAGGGACTGGGAGCACTGGGAGGGCCATCATCGAGTACATGCCCCTGCTGGCCGGGCAGCTGGTGCGTACTGGGAGCACTGGGAGGCACTGGGAGGGACTGGGAGCACTGGGAGGGCCATCATCGAGTACATGCCCCTGCTGGCCGGGCAGCTGGTGCGTACTGGGAGCACTGGGAGGCACTGGGAGGGACTGGGAGCACTGGGAGGGCCATCATCGAGTACATGCCCCTGCTGGCCGGGCAGCTGGTGCGTACTGGGAGCACTGGGAGGCACTGGGAAGGGACTGGGAGGAGAGTAGGGGCTTCTATGGGGGCACTGGAAGCCACTGGGAGGGACTGGGAAGGACTGGGAGGGACTGGGAGGAGTCTGTTGGTTCCTACTGGGCAGGGTAGAGGTTTATACTGGTTTGTACTGGTTCATACTGGTTCATACTGGTTTTCCCTCCCCAGGGGGTGGAGTTCTTCGACGAGAAGCTGAACTCGCTCTGCATGGCCTGGCTGGTCGACCACGGTGAGCCCAGTCCCTCCCAGTACGGACCAGTATGGACCAGTATGGCCCAGTACAGACCAATTCCTCCCAGTACGGACCAGTACGGACCAGTACAGCCTGGCCCCCTCCCACTACGGACCAGTGCCCCCCCCCCATCCCCTCCCAATATGGCCCAGTCCCCTCCCAGTACAGCCCAGTGCCCCCAAATCCCCTTCCAGTACCCCCAGTCCCCTCCCAGTATGGACCAGTCCCCTCCCAGTATGGACCAGTTTCCTCCCAGTACATCCCAGTCCCCCCCTGTCCCCTCCCAATACATCCCAGTACGTACATCCCAGTACGATCCAGTCCCTCCCAGTATGGACCAGTACGGACCAGTCCCTTCCCAGTACATCCTAGTGCCCCCTATCTCCTCCCAGTATGATCCAGTCCCCCCCAGTCCCCTCCCAGTATATCCCAGTCCCCCGGGATATATGGGGGGCCACCAGTAACCTGGGAGTTACTGGGAGTTACTGGGGGTCCATGGGGAGTTACTGGGGGTCCATAGGGTGTTACTGGTCTCTAACTGGTCTCTAACTGGTGTTACTGGTCTCTAACTGGTCTGTTACTGGTCCCAGTTTACGCCATCCGTGAGGCCGCCACCAGTAACCTGCGGAAGCTGGTGGAGTTACTGGGAGTTACTGGGAGTTACTGGGAGTTCCTGGGGGTCCATAGGTGTCACTGGGTGTCTGACTGGTCTCTCACTGGTGTTACTGGTCTCTAACTGGTCTCTAACTGGTTCCCAGTATACGCCATCCGGGAGGCCGCCACCAGTAACCTGCGGAAGCTGGTGGAGTTACTGGGAGTTACTGGGAGTTACTGGGGGTCCATAGGTGTCACTGGGTGTCTGACTGGTCTCTGACTGGTGTTACTGGTCTCTGACTGGTCTCTCACTGGTCTCTAACTGGTCTGTTACTGGTCCCAGTTTACGCCATCCGTGAGGCCGCCACCAGTAACCTGCGGAAGCTGGTGGAGTTACTGGGAGTTACTGGGAGTTACTGGGGGTCCATAGGTGTCACTGGGTGTCTGACTGGTCTCTCACTGGTCTCTCACTGGTCTCTCACTGGTCTCTAACTGGTCTCTAACTGGTTCCCAGTTTACGCCATCCGTGAGGCCGCCACCAGTAACCTGTGGAAGCTGGTGGAGTTACTGGGAGTTACTGGGAGTTACTGGGGGTCCATAGGTGTCACTGGGTGTCTGACTGGTCTCTCACTGGTGTTACTGGTCTCTAACTGGTCTCTAACTGGTCTCTAACTGGTCTCTAACTGGTC